AGCTCAGCAAGCAACCAGCTCATATGCAAGTGGGAACGCAACAAAGGCGTTGTGCCATCGACATCGGCCGTTCTGAACGTACTTCAACACTAACTGTCGTCTATGGTGGCACGGTCCACCGCTAGTAGCAGGCCGTACCCCAAACACTGCAGCAATCGCAACAARCACCTGCAGTCCATGAGTATCCCATTCACCACGGTACTTCGAGCCTCAGTGGCAATGGCYMAAAAWACTCACAGTACCACTGCGACAGGCTCCAAGASATCTCAGTTTATCAATCTATGCTCAGACCGGTCACTCTTCCAACTCAGAACGACCATGCATCTCCCTTAGTTTGGCTCCGGAACTCGACCTCCGGCCCCCGAACGTGGCCAGCTTCCCCTACCAGTTGCAAGCCAGGTCTCCCTCAGCTCCCGTTACCTYTCCTTCTCTTAYCTCATGGACCGTACTAGCTCCCCCGCCCACTGTCCTYGGTCTCCGCAAATAGGCACCCTCCAACCCCCGTCCYTCTCCTTCCCTTTGATGACCCATATCGYTGTCGCCCACCTCTAATCGTAARAGCAGGCTCATTCAGACATCATAGAAGGCGAGGGTCGCAACAGCAGCCACTATTAGTATGACACCCASGACTGTAGAACARGTGTGACCAYGGGAAGGAGAGCAAGCTCCGCTTGAGGAGGCCTGTGATCGGGATAAAACCCACGGTCGGTGTAAAGACTCAGATCGACACTGCGCCTTCTACGAGCAATAGCCCATCCACCAAGGTACGAATGGTAGCAACCGGCGGAAGGTAATCTTCCCGGCAACCATGATCTTCAATGAGAACAGGATGGCGAGCACCGAGCCCGCAGTTTGCACACATAAAAAGAATAAAAGGGGAAAATGAATCCTCCCCTAGATGACGGTCTGATTCACTCCTTTTTATTATATTTTCCTGTGTAGCAGCGACTACTCCCATGGGCGCAGCTCCTTTCTGTGATGTCTCAAGGTCTAGCCATTAACTTTACAAACTAACCTCATAATCTAACTCGCAGATACGAAGAACCCCTATTTAGCACCCTCCTTCGCCCGTTTTCGTCCGGAAACGGATGAGATATGCATTTTTTCATCTCCTTCTTCTTCACTTTCCCTCCATCTCTGCGCACACCATTTCTCTACTAACTCCCAAACTACTAAGTTTTAGCTCAAACTAACAACATAATTTGACTCGCCCGGTCAAAAAAACTAAATCTAGCATTTCAAATCGTGAAGAACGGTCAAGAATTGAGTGAGTTATTGCAACTTCACTCCCCCCCCCCTTTTCTACTCTCCGCCATCTTCGTTTCCTGTTAATGCACCTGGCGCCAAATCCCATCCGGGTTCATTCACCTCTTCCCCCTTCCTCATAGTGCTTCCTTCATCGCCTTACCACCTGTTGCTCCGCTGCTGGCACGGTACCCGCGCTATGCCCGTTTGCTCCGCCACCTTAGCTGCGCTGCGCTGCTGCCTCACTCCGCCCGTCGTCGTTAGCATAGTGCCCGACTGCTACACAACGCTCCGGCCAGTTTTACTGTCCTGTTGCTTGCCTGCCTGGTACTACTGCCCGCGGCTTGCTGCTGCTAGCGCAGCGTCTGATGGTCGTAATGGCCCGCTGCTGCCGGGCCAGCCCCATTACAGTCTATCCCTGCGTGCTCACTCCACCCAGGCGGAATGCTCCAACCCCTCAGGCCTCCAACAGTCGGGCTCCCCCATAGGTACGTGGGTTGCGGTGTCGGCTAAATGCCCCTGCCGCAGGCCCGTAGCATGGCCCCTGGTGTAGCATGGCCCCTGGTGCAGCCGGCCCCGGCACAGATTTTAGAGGTAATAGCAAATATTCCAGTGAGAACTCTTAGACCCGAACCGGAGGGAAACCCCGTGGGCATACTCACACCCAAACCTCCTACAACGGATCGTGGTAGGCGGGCGGGTCATATTCACACCCGGAGAAGGTCCCCGCCACTCAGGTTTCTCCCTCCTCGTGGCCTAATCATCTACCGGCTCGAATGTACGTTAATTCCCCCGGCCCATATTCTTAGGACATACAAGATAAAAGAACTTTGCCAACACCTTGAACACGCGGGGACCCGTAAGTCAACGAACGGAGGCGCGCGCTCAAATTAAAAGGTGCCAACGAAAAAAAATTGATCTTAAAAACTTCCAGTCRCCAAASMCAAAATAAAGGATACCCYCTGCACCGCTCTGACGCCGCCAAATGGCAAAACCAAACGGGGTAGCCCTACGGCCCTCAACCCCATCGGCTTCCTCCTCGATGCTCCGCTGCCGCTGCGTCGACGCTCGCCGTCCTCGATCCCTGAACCTTCGTACTGTCAATCAAAAGTCGTAACCTATAGGACTAAGCCCAAGCCTGGGGCTGAGTCCCGCAGAATACCATATAGGCAGCGCGGCGCGACGCTTTGGGCCAACAAAACGGTTGCGCGGCTCCCATTTGTCCGCGCCGGCTTGCTTATATAAGTACCAATCAAAAGAAAATATCCTTAATTCCTGCTTAATAAAAAATAAAAAAACAATAAATAATATCACCAAGCAAAATGACCAAGGTCCGGGCCGGCTCTACGATCAACAACAGAAAGGAATCACGCGCGCCTTAAACCTGCGCGCCCACGCACTCGCTATTGTGGTCAACCACCCAATCAACGCAATTACATACGCAACCGCCTTTAGCGCGGTATACTTAAATTATAAACCAAAACCGTTTTTCTGTTACTTGCAAAAAACAGGGCGGATACCCTTGTAAGGGTATTCGCACCGACAGCTTACGGGACCATATTAAGCGACGTACCCGTCGCTTCGCCAAATCAGAAAGCTATAAACCCACGCACACTCCAAATGCTGGCGAAAAACGAGCCAATCCGATTAGCCGACAAACACAGGGTAGAGGCCTCCATCAAACCGTGCCTCCACAACTATATGCTGCCAGGTTATTAACCTGGGCCTCTCACCGTCCAGAAATTAGAACGCTGACAGCATAAGTTCCAAAGACCTTTCCAATCGTCCTCCCCCCGGTCCTAGACAACCTTCGGCTTCTCGTTGGGTGTCCCTAGTCCTGGCAAAAACTAGGGACGCGGGCCTTAATCGAGACCTTTTGAAGACACTCTCGCCTTCCTTCTCCAAATCTCTCGCAATCAAAAACACATAAGTATATATATATACTTAATATTCTCTCAGCTCTTTCTGCAGTCTAGTACAGAAAGGTTAGGTCTCCATCTTGGCCCACCATAGCCTGGCTGATCGGACCAGGACTACGGCCCACCGCATTGTTATTTAGCGGCATTACCCCTCGTTGGTTACGCAACGATAGGTTTTCTCCTGATAAGCATTCAATCAGGATTCTCCCAAAAAAAAAATTTCAACCATCACTATCCCGCGGAGTAATTTCACTGGGGCGGTCACCCCCCCTTGAACTCTTACCCACGCGGTCCCGCAGCCAGGTTGCGTCGGCTAGCAACCATCCAATGGGGTTACGCCCTAGAGGTACTAACTTCTTTTCCGTTAGCTTAGCCTTTCTTCAATATGTCTCAGAATTAACACATGTGGTTAGGCGGGGCGTCGCAAAACAAAATCACAGGCCCACTGCGCAATACGCAGGGGTCCGAAGGCATCTATCAGCCCTTCCACAATAGGCATGGCATCCTTCGCACGCTCACAAACAAAATCACCGCTAAGTCCACCAGGCCGTGACCCCTGACTTGATCAGAGTCAGTAACCAGCTGTCCTGAGACGTCTCTCACCCTACACTCATTGTGACTTTCTCAAACATTCCAAACAAAAGTGGCTCTTTCCGTCAGACTTTTATCACCTATCAAACAACTCGTCATGCCATAAATCAATTTACTCACTTCTGAGAGTGAACCTTCCAACCATAAACCATTCCCCTTTTCCAAAAAAATCCAAGGGGCTCTCATCATAAACAAAAACACCCCCTCGTCAAAAAATCACGAGAGGTCTTGCCATAAAACCAAACTTCCCCTTTTCAAAACTCGAGGAGGTCTCATCATAACACACAACATCATAAAACATCCCTTTCCCCAGAAATCCAAGGGGGCTCTCATCATAAAACAAAACATCACTGAGATACCATCTTATGGGTCCTCATCACAACTTAAACAATCAATAATCAATATGGTAAGTTTTTTGAGCCTCCAGGGCTCATAAGACTTTTTAAAATCCTCACAACTTTTCACAAACAGGCTGCACTCCCTCCCCTTATACTCTGCCCTATCAGCTGTCCATGAGCAAGTCGCACAAGTATACCGAGGAATAGACAGTTTTGCTTACAATCATATTCACTGTACCTATGACAAAATAAGATGTTTTTCACACATTTTCCACACAAACTCATCATACATCAGAGTACAACCACATATGTGAGAGTGGCAAGTGATCGTCATATATATGAATGGTCCCTGAAATAAAACCTCATCATAATATACACTCAGAGAATAAAAAGGCCTCACACAAAAATTGTCTCCAAATCATAGCTCACTCAACTCAAGCCACACCAAACCCATACTGACAACAACCCCTAGGATACATATCAGATCTGTCTCTCAAAACCTGTGCGTAGGCCACCTAAATATGTACATGCCTCATCTAAATCACCCTGAACCTCAAGACCCCAGCTCAGTTGGGACACTAGAGTTCAAAAAAAAAAAAAAAAAGGTCCTCGAAGTCTAAGAGGGTATCACACAGACCTTAAGCTGATGCCTCACAAGATACTCGCCCACTCACATAGACAAACCGGCGCTATATCCTCAACTCCTCCTGGTTTTGCCTATATAACTGAGCCCTAAGTCCATCTGCGGACTTCTCTATTATCCTACCCTGTTTATCATACATCTTACCTCCTACCTCTGAGACCTTCCCTACTGCCTTATCCTCAAGGAACTCGAGACAGTCCAGAGCATGATGCACGTCCTTCTTGCAGTAAAAACATAGCTGATCTACCTTCCTCTTGAACTTCTTCTTCCTGGGCTGAGGAGATGGCGATGAAGGAGATCCTACCAAGGTACTGACAACCTCCTGCTGCTCTGATCAAAGGGCTGCGGTACTAACGACCTTCTGCTGCTCTGTCCCAGGAACCGGTCCCCCAGACCCCGATCCAGTAGCCCAAGATCCCAGTCTGCTCTTCAAATCCTCTGTCGTTGGGACGTACTTAGCCGTGTCCAACCTCTGAGGTCTCCTCTCGAGTGTCTCTCCTAGCACTGTCGTGGGCTGCTCCTCAATCTCCTCTAGTCCATACTCAGGTGTGCCCATCCTCTGGAGCCTGCTCTCGATGGCACCCTCCGCCTTAATCCCCATCTCTCTCTCAAGCGGCTCCTCTATCCTCTGCTCGGGTGAAAACAAACTCGCCTCTTCCTGCATGGTATGCACTGCCTTAAGGAGTACGCTCATGGATCCCTCTGCTGACCCCTGAGCCGGCTCACTGCTAGATGGCGGTAGCCCCTCCTCAATCGCCAAAGGTACGACTGGGCCTGCCGCTGCCACTGGCAGCGTCGCAAGCTCAGTAGGGGCTCTAAACTCGAACGCCTCTTTCTCTGCCTGTCTCTGGGCTCTCGCCTCCTCTGGCTCCAGGATAACTCTCCCCATAGGTGGCTCTTGGCGAGGCCCTGCCGCAGATGGCTGTCCTGGCAAAACTTGTCCCGGCTGCCTCTGCTCTCCCTGTCTGCTGCTCTTTGACTTATCCACTTTTTCTTGGGTTTGCTGCCTTAGGGTCTCAATGATAGTTGCCTGACTGGCCACCAATGCCCTGAGTTCCTGGATTTCCATCTCCATAGCCTCCAGGCGTACTCCATGACTTGCTTCCTTTAATTTTTTCCCTGCCAGATCGCTATCCAATAACAAGTGTCGGTCAAAGGTCGTTTTGGCCAGGAACTTGATTTTGCGATCTATCCTCTCTTCCGCCTTCCTGGCCACCCCAAGCCCGGCTCTGACTGGCGAAGGAAGCTCCTCTCCTCTCTGCTCCCAGAAGTCTCTCCACATCTCGGGGATCTCCGGGGCCCTTGCTGGCGCGCTGGGTGGCTGACCTGGGAGTGCTCCTGCTGCCTCCGATCTCTGCCTCTCCAGTTGCTGCTCCGGAAGCTCCCCCGCTGCCTCCAACCTCTGCCTCTCCTGCCATATCTCATTTATCCGTCTGGTTCTTCTCGCCCTCTTTTCTTCAGCCGTCTCTCCAGCTGGCGCCCTTTCCCTCTTCGGGATCTCTGCTTCCATCTCCTTCTCGGGTTAGTACGGCTCCTGGCGCGGTTCTGCAGGTGCTGGCTCCTCCAGGTCTGGATGCTCTAGGGCATAAGCTGCTAGGTGCCTATCAATCAGGGTCAAGGCCTCCCTCCTTACAGCTGCCCTTTCTCTCCTCCTGTCGGCTCTCCCCTCTGGCGATGGAGCCCTCTCTGATGAAGGAAGTGGGGCCTCCTCTCTCCACAATCTCTCCTCTGCCTGACGAGTGCTCCCTGGTGCATCCCCGAGTCTCAAACCCACCGCTGGCGTCTGTGGGGGCGTGTCGTCTCCAACCTCTATCACTTCCTTCCCTGCACGTCTCCCCCCGTCGCCCAGCCTGCTCTCTCGCTGAGTACCCTGCGCCTCCTCTCATGGCACCTCCTCTCGTGGAACCGCCTCTCGTGGCACCTCCTCTCGTGGCACCTCCTCTTGTGGTACCTCCTCTCGTGGCACCTCCTCTTGTGGTACCTCCTCTCGTGGCACCCCTTCTACTTGCTCTTCATGCTCCTCACCCTGAGGTGACGCTCTCCACTGAGAAATATCCAGATGCGTCTCCAACTCCCTCAACGGCCCTTCAGACACTGGCGGCTCCTCCCGTGTGTGTGCTGGTGACTTCCTCAATCCACCCTCAGTAAAACGATGGAACTCCACTGGTCCCAACCCACACTCGGGGTATGCCCCTCGCTCCTCAACCTCTGGCTCCCGCTCCGGCTCCTCCTCTCTCCTGGCTAGGGCCTTCCGTCCTCCCCGAGACGGTCTCACCTCCCTGGGCTCAGGGTCYCTCGACCTCTGACTCCTCTGACGTCTCTCGACTCTGGGYTGGGGGGGCTCTGGCCGTCGAAAGGCCTCTCTTAGATGTKCCCTRCAGCTCTCCCAGTCCCGGRCCATGTCTCTGATTTGGCTAVCCAGCGGCCTTTYCGCCTTCCTGGTCCADAGTGGTAGCRTCTGCATCCAGTCATCTCTCGGTATGCCCTGCCCCTGCATGAACCACTCAAACGCGGGGATGAAGTCCGACGCATTTCCAATCTCCAGGCGGATCGGCCTGCCATCAGGCCCCACAGGCGAGGGTCGCAACTCCTGCATCCTCCACTCCACCTCTGATCTCGTCGTTGCCTCTCTATGGATCCGCGCGATGGGCTTCTCGAATCTGCCTGCTCCCCTCAATCTCTCAATCGCCTGAGCCACGGTCCAGCCCATACGCCTCGCATGATCCCAAAAGTTGTCCAGGAATATCTCGATGTCCCCATCATTGTATACCGAAGTACTCTCTCGATGGCGAGGCCTATGTTGCTCATATCCTCTTGGTGCTCCCAACGGCCTCCGAGGCGGCCGTGTCCCCCTCCTTCCTCTTGGCATGGCTGTCTTCGTAAAGTCAGACCAGGCGAAGGAGACAACAGGCACACATTGGGGTAAGCAAAACAGGTGATAATCAAGCAAACTTAGACCAGACCACACTCACACAGCATACATCCTACCTAGCCTACACACCCTGCTACTTCTATTCTAAAGGCAGTCATGTCGTCTCTCTTACCTCTTCTCTCGCCACGAATTTCTTCAGTCACGTTCCAGATACCCAATCCTTCCACTCAGTTCCATTTAGCTCCTCAATCTGATATGCTTCGAAGTCTCCGACCCGTACGATCCGGTAGGGACCTAACCACCTCTTATCGAGTTTCCTGGACCATTGCTTCTCCAGTGATGAATCGTAGAGAAGCACGACATCTCCAACTGCCAAGGGTACTTTCCTCACCCGCGCAGATTGATCCCATCGAGCCTTATCGTCCATACGACTTCTCGCCACCTGGTCAGACGCCTCCTGGATCCTTTCTTCTATCGCTCCTATCTGCCGCGCCCGAATATCGAGCAATTCTTCAAATGACAGGTTAACTTCCAGATCCTGACGCCTCCATGTCTTAAGAAAGCTCTCGATAGGGAAGGTGGCGTGCCTTCCATACCACAATGTCGCCGGTGCGTGCTTGGTGGATCTTTTTATTGTAATGTTCTCGATAAAGAACGCCGCCCTTAGGTATCTTGGCCATTGATTAGGCCTACCTTCGGTCCACTTAGCCAGGAGACTCGTAATGATACTATGTCCTCTCTCTACGGAAGCATTTGCCTGGGGGTGCGCGGCCGTGGTGTAGTTGGCTGCTACACCATACCTTGATAACAATTTTTGCACCTCTTGGCAGGTAAACTTCGATCCCCTGTCCATTACGAATTCCCTGACGAAAGGGTAACGCAGGTAATATTCCTCGATGCAGCTCACTAAGACTAACCCGGTCTTGGTGCTACGAACCCAGACAGGTTATCGCGCGCATCGAAGATATAGTTATAGCCCTGATCCCCAAGTGGCATAAAAAGCAGATCGAGATGCACTACGGCCCCCACATCTCGCTCTAACCTTGGATGCAGCGGCTCTCCTTGCCTTAAACGGGATCTCTCTTGGCAAGGCACGCAGGATCGACAGAATTTCCCGACCATGTCCATCATTCAATCCCAGTAGTACAACTCACTTATCTTGGCATACGTGGCTTGTACCCCTCGATGCCCTCCTGGAATGTCATCGTGAAGTGCTGCTACAACGTCGATCTGACGATTCCTACCGCAGATGACCCTCCTGGGATTCCCCAGTTCTCTTCTCACGAAAAGGTGGTCGTCTCGCACTAAGTAGCGCTGCAGCATCCTCTGAGCCCTATCGCTTGCATCTCTTAGCCGCATTTCACATGACAGAAGAAGTTCCAGTTCTAGGTAGATCCCGTCGTAATCCTCTGCACGAAAAGCCTCCTTAATCTCCCCCTCCTCGAACTCGTCGTCCTGGCTCTCGGGCACTCCGCCACATTTCCTGTCGAGTTCAACAAGCCTGACTGGTCGAGGCCTTCCTGCAGTAACGTGTTGAAGAGGAGATACATTCCTCCCATCAGGTCCTCATGCCGTTCTACCTGGCCAGGTCCTTCCTCAATCGTTCTCATGTCCTCCACCAGGCTATGCGAGCTGGTCAGCGCTAGCTCCATCATCCACTGAACATCCTTACCGCCCCAGGGATCTTCTTCCTCAAAGGGCTTAAGGACTAGCTCATTCCTCCTTTCATACCCCTTCGGCGCTTGCCAAATAGGATAGCCTACACAGCTGGGCACTCGTGGCGACCACTTGTTGATATGAAGATGAACATTTTCTTCCTGATCCAGAAATCCATCAACTGGGGGCGTATTCTCAACCGCCTCCCCTTCCTGTTTATCCCAGTTGATCCGACTCAGGCCGTCCACCCGGTTCTTACTACCAGGAATCCGTTTCAATTCGAAATTGAACATCCAGATGTACGTCAGCCATCTGGCAACCGTCGGATCCGATGGAACGTAATTCCTTAGAGAGTAGGTTAGGGCGGTCGGATTCACTCTCAAAATAAACCTCCTGCCGAAGATATAGTTCCGGAAGATTCGCAGACAGTGGAGGACAGCAAGGGTCTCCCTCTTGAACTGAGAGTAGTTCCTCTCCGTCGTACAGAGAGTCCGACTCTCAAATCGCAGGGTCTTTCCTTTCCTTCCATGTCTGCCTGAATTAGAACTCCCCCTAAGGCAGTCGGTCCCGCATCCGTTTCGACAATGAAGGGTCGCGTCTCTGTGGCGTCATAATCTGGCGCTCCTAACACCAACCCTCCTTCTCGGAATTCCTCTTTCATTTTTGCCACCACCTCTTCTTGTTCCTCACCCCATACCCATTCCTGATCCTGACGGACTAACTTCCTCAGGTGTTCAGTCTTAGCGGCAAAGTTCTTGACGAAGGCCTTCTAAAATCCACACGTACCAAGGAAGCTCCTGACATCAGTTATTGAGTGGAACGGAACTGGTCACTCAGTAATCTTGTCCGTCTTCTTCACATCCGGCCTTCCGCCCTTCTCATTGCAGACAATCCCCAAGATAGTCCCTTCCCTCATGCAGTGTCTGGATTTGGCCCCGCTTGCCGTGAGGTTATGCTCTTCGAGCAGGCTCAGGACCTTTTCGAGGTCCTGGATGTGTTTCCAGACGAAGCGCCTTACCCCTGGTGAGACTTCGTCGCTCTCTTTCATCGCCGGCCCCTTCACTGCCAAATCGTCAATATATGGCTGTGTGATATGGGGGCTGACTGACTGCATGGCCCGAATCATGGCCCGTTGGACCATTGCTACTGCATTGGTCCACCCTTGTGGGGCCACGTTCATGTGGATTAATCCTCGCGGCGTGTGCATAGCCGTCACCGGCCTATCCGGCGGGTAGACAGGGAACTGATCGTATCCTGAGTAAAGGTCTATAAGCGAAATTATAGGTCTTCCAGCATAGGATTCCGACAGCGCGTCTGCATTCGGCAGTCCTCCAGCATCTCGCACGGTCACTGCATTCAGTCTTTGCAAATCCTGCACCCACCGCAGCGTCTCGTTAGGCTTAATAAAGCAGAACCACGGGGACGCATACGGTCCACTTGAATAGTCGGCGACGTGAGTACGTATCTTGCCGTCGAGGTAATCCACCACCTTCCTTTTCTCGTCAGGATTGGGATATCGCGCCCCTCTCATGTTCCAAGGCTCGTGTGGCACGGTGTGGATGCGGATCATAGGTATCTTATCCACATCCAGCCTGCCACGCTCCTCGTCACTAAACGCATAGGCGCGATGCTTCCTCTTCATTAATTCCACCATCAACGTTCGCTCCTGAGGCAGCAGGAAATCGGACTCCCCTATGATCAACTCATTCTCGTTCCCTACGTTGATACGACATGGCCCTGCTAAAGCACTGTCCCTCATTCGTCGTATCAACCCTCGTTCCCTCTCGTAATATGCTTCCTCGTCCTCTGTAACAAGGACGGGTACCAGGCGGCACTTCTTATCTACCGTCTTGTACCGCCTTTGGGAACCCTGCTTGAGCCGTCCCCTAAAAAAGGCCGACTCACGGATTGTGTTTGTGTCGATGCGGGGTTCCCTCCGCTGCCTGGGAGCCGATATTCCAATTCCAACCTTCCTGCCTCAGGGCATTCCAAAACTTGCTCCCTCAAGGCCTGGATGGCATCCGGATTTGCCATCTCATGCGCGGCCACCAGGTTCATGGCCTTCCCAACATCTGACAGGCTGAGGGAGAATGCTTCCACCCTCTCTCCTGCTTCGGGCTCTGCCCAGAGCCTCCTGCGCTCCCCTTCCGACTCCTCGATTGTGAATGATCCTGGATTGGGCCGGTTCCTTATACTCCTTGGCCTGGTGTTCCTGCAAGTAATTATTTCATAATTCCCACAGGCAGGATCGCATAAGAGGAGGATCAACGTCCCATCATGTTTGTTGAACATCACGGTCTCTGTCCTACTTAGGAATGACCTCCCCAGGAGGATTCCATGGTCCACGTCCGGCATTATGAAGAAGCATGCCCTGGCCTTCACCTTTCCAACCTCGACGAGCACATTCGAGGTTGCCCCGCAAAACACGGCCTTACAGCTGGCTCCATGTAGAATACCGCAGTCAGAACGGTCCATATCCAGCCCGAATCTGGTCGCGTCCGCCTCCCGAATAATGTTCATCTCTGCCCCGGTGTCCACCATTACTGCGCACTTGGAACCCTTCACCATCAACTCCACCGTACCGCAGGCTACGCACTTCCAGTCCATCTTCGTACCTGACTCTGCCCACTCTGCCTCCTTGGGCAGGTTCGTACCCAGATGGACATTGGGCACCAGGCGCAGAGATAACCTCCCCTTCAGTTCAGCACGGAGTCGCGGGGCTGACGCTAGGATTTCCTTCAGGGTCATGAGGTCATTATGCCCTTCCAGCAGCCGGTCGATCACCTTCTCTACGTCAAATCCCTCTTCCAACCGGACCGCGTATTTCGTCTTTTTGGGCGGTCCGTCATGTATGACCGGTTCGGCCTCTCCCCTGATTCCCTTTTTCCTTGCCCGCTGCTCCGCTCTCTGATTCTCTTCTCTGCGCAGCCTCTTGTCCTCTTCCTCTTCATTATCGTCGTCCTCTACTTCCACAGCCTCTTTCCTTCTCCCTGGTTCGGGTTCCCTCCTTGGAGGTTCTTGGCTGGCACTGGCCTTGGCTTGATTCCTCGTTCGCGCTGCCTGTGCCAGCCGGGCCTACGGAGTGAGGGGTCTCCCCCTCATTCCCGATTGTGGGCACGACCCCACCACATTTACTCCGGGTCGCCCAGGCGCTCACTCGGGGCCGGAGTCATAGAGGAATACTGTGGGGATGTTAGACCTCCATCCCTTCACTTCCTCACAGAGGCCCACCAACTTCTGTTGGTACCTCCCCATCTTATCCAGCAAGTCCTCCATCTTTTCAAATAAGACGGACGGAGGCTCCGTTCTTTCCTCCTCATCCTCGTCATCTGACTCGACGATTATGGCCTCTTCCGTCTCACTTTCTCCTCGTAGCCCTTGAGTCACTTCCTCATCGCTTCCTACTTCTTCCACCCCAAACGGTGGTTCCTCCTTTTCCTGCCATAGCCTGAACATGGCAGGGGGTGGCGGCCCAGCTGCCGCTCTTCGTTGGGCTTCAGCCCTCACTCCTCCAAGCCTTCGGTCAATGGCCTCCCCAAACTGATCGTAGATATTCCCATCCATAGTGGAGGAAATCAATCCGCTTCTCTCGTCGTCCCGTCTTATATTACAGAGCCTTATAGTGTGGCCTTGCTGGTCACAATGTTGACAGATGGTCGTCCTCCAGTCAAAACAGGGTCTTCCATACCCCTGACTTCCCTGATCCCCCTGGCCTTGATACCCCAGGCCTTGGTACCCCTGGCCTTGGTACCCCTGGCCTTGACTCCCTTGGCCTTGGTACCCCTGGCCTTGACTCCCTTGGCCTTGGTACCCCTGGCCTTGACTCCCTTGGCCTTGGTACCCCTGGCCTTGGCCATTCCATTGCCTTCCTCTTCCGCCGTCATTCCTGCCTCGCACCCTTCCTCCACCCCTCCCTCCGTTGCCTTGATTGCCCTGCCCCTGGTTCCCACCTCCTACAACACTGCCCTTTGAATTGGGATCAGGTGACAGTGGCGGGGCCACAGGTTGGGCCTGGGCCGCGGGATAGATGGGTGGTGGCATACTCGTTTGCGGTCCGGCTACTGGCGGCGGGCTTCCCCATGGCACAATTGCATTGATCACCGGCCAGGGCCACTGTCCGTAGGAGGGCGCCCCACCTTGCGAGGGGCCCGTACTAGATGATGGAGCCGCCACATTTAAAGGGGTTGCTGCCAGGGCCTGAGGCGCCTGCGCTTTTCCTGATCCCTGTCCGCCCTGCGCCAAATTACGCACTTTGCGTTGGACCTTCGTCAGGTGCTGCGGCACCGCCTCTTCCTCTTCCCAGAGCTCCTCCAGAACCTCCTCTATCACTGGCTCTTTTCCTTTTACTTTGACAGCCGTCACCACCCTCCTTTGCACCACCGGCTCTGTCGCATACCCTAGCTGTGCCAATACGTCTGTAACAATCCTTGTTACCCCCGGGGTCCCAGAAGTTGTCGCATCTCTTTCCTTTCTTTTCTGCCTTTGCAGGCGTACCTGACGTTGTTCCACCTGGTCCAAGCACCCAACTTCCACCCCTTTGTCAATGGTGGTCCAGGTGAGCTTAGTGCTACCTCCTCCATGTCTCGTCAACTCGACGGCCTCCGACGCTGTGAGTAGCCCAAGGAAGATGGTGCACTGTGCTTCCTCCGAAATCCCATGGACCTTCCGCGCCCTTTTCTTAAATTCTTGAACAAAGGCCCCTATAGTCGTAAAATCCTCTTTGTTCATGGCTTCAAGGTCCGCGGTAGTCAACAACCCGTCTCCCAGGCGGTATTTCCTCTGCATCCCCTCCTTGAACCTCTCCCAGCTACCTTGAGCCGCATCTATGACTTTCTTCACCTCCTGATGGTAGCTGTGGAGGACATACTGAAGGATGC